CATGTTTTTCTGCTAAAAAATCATGGATAGTGCAATTATTTTTCAAAAATCATGGAAACAAAGAAAAAACAAAAGAAACTCGCATGTCAGTTCCAGTACATTCTTCTTATGATTTGAAAAGAAGAAGAATGAGTTTGGAGGACACCATTCATTTGGAGTGTCCCAAAATATGCGTTGAACGTTTGATTGATAAATTTCTTGTCTATACAGCTTTCGTATTACAATTGTCATGATGCTGTAGAGCTGATTTTGACTTGATTCAGGGAAAAAACAAGTCAGAGACTTCATTAGCGTAGGGTTACGGTAGGGATTTTGGTTTGCGCAAATAAGTCCAGAGTGTGCTAAAGCTATCCAAAATAAGTTGAAAACTTTGCTAACAAGTTGGTTAGCATTGCTCTTTATTAAAACGACAGTATTCCCTAGTAGCGGTTTTACCAATGAGTGTCAAAACTGCTATTATGCCATGTTCTACATGCATATACAAAGTTGTCTTTAAAAATTAGCAATTGAATAACATTACAAAACTTTTCGAATGTTTTGCAAATTTTCTTACACGGCAGCTGAATGAAGATATTATGTAAGAAGTTCCTATCGTACTCCTACAATGCAATAGTTAACTCGTTTTTTTCCCTGCAGACCTAAGCGAAATCCAAATTTTCAGACAAGAGAGTATTGCGGATATTTTATTCGATACATTTTTCAGATTTTGTATTTTAGGAAGTTATTCAAAAACTGTTTGCTTGTATTTGTTTCCTCTAACTCTACAAAGACCTTCAGAGTTGGACTCCGTCTGTGTTTCACCAATTAGGGAATTCCATTTGCATTTCAATTTATTTTCTGTCTTTCCGAGATCAAGAAACATAGCAGAGCTTCCAGGATGCATTCTGAACGCACTAAACCAACAAAGGACTCGAAGCTTTTCTTGAGTGAGGAGTTTGCGCTCTATTCGAACGCACCTCTTTTCGAATTTTCCCTTGCCCCACACAGCGTTGAAGCAATCGAAATCCTTACTATCTTTTTGAATTATAATAGTTAGGGCAGCAAATGCTTGACTTTACTCCAATATGGTTATCAGATGGTAACATTTTAGTTGGATGAAGCAAAAGGTGGAAAAACTTGACAGAAGTTAGTCGCACTCTACAAGCTTATGGTATATCGAATAACGATGTAGGGGCAGATAGTTTCTTTTTCAACTTTTCATATGAGTAAGCTATACATAACAATCAGTGGCGTACCCAGGATTTCGGCTCGGGGGGGGGGGGGCGCACAAAAGGCTAATTTGAATTTTTAAAAATTTTCAAAAATTATTTTAATTATTTACAAAATTAAACAAGTCACTTGCACATTTTTATAATCCATATAAGCAATTTTCAAAAATTTCGCGACCCATTCTCGGGGGGGGGGCGACCCCCCCTCGCCCCCTCCCCCCTCGGTACGCCACTGATAACAATCAAAGTAATCGCTTATTCGCGAAATGTATGAGGAATGAATACTAATGGAGCGATTACCAAGCTAAATCTCAAAGATTCAGTTGTATGATGGCAGAATTTTTGTTTCTGATAAATTATTCCCCTAACTTCAGCAATATTTTGTAAGTTTCGCTTTGTACTTTTGAAGAAGCTTTGAAAATATTAGGTCGTTCCGAAAGTAATGTCGCTTTTTTCAAACGTATGCCACATTTCGTGGAACAAAGATGTGTAAGAGATTCTGGTAGCATTTGATGCAGCATTTCATTCTCTTTCTAATGGTTATATAATTACCGCACAAAATTGAATAACCTCTGGGAAAATTATCGGAATCCGCGACCCATGCTTTTTGAGAAGGTCAAGTTTCACAATTTTTCCAATTTTTTATAACTACCCCCGGAAGGAGTCCAAGTTATGTATGGATAGAGCAAACCCTACTGGAAACAGCACAACTTTTTTCTACTTTTCAGAACTCGTCATAATTTCTGTATAGATTTTTTGATGGAACTGCCGAATTTTAGCAGGCTCGTCTCAGACACAAATGCATCAAACACCAAGAAATCGTCGGATTTTGAAACTTACAAAAACGGATTATGGTTTTACAATAATTTTACAAAGCAAATGAGCGTTTACCGCTTCAGATTAGCAACTTTCAAAAATTCCGGGTACAGCGGAGGCGCCCTGGAAAACCTGAATTATGATGATTTTATCTCGGAAAACTTGATAAATCGGAAACCAAAAACAACTGGTAAAAAGAGGAAAAAAAGCTGCGTCGAATGACACCCGAGTTGCTTGCCGGTTATTGTTCTGTGAGGTTTGAGTTGACCAAATATGGAATTTGATGGCATTTTAAAACTGATTCCAGAAACTCTAAGAAGCAAGCTAAGGAAAGGAAAAAATTACTCTGTGTCCTATAGGGTTTGCTCTATCTACCTGCTACTTGTACTTCTTCGGAGAATAGGTACAAAAATTTTAAAAAATTGCCGAACTTGACCATGGCAAAAAGCATGAGTTGCAGATTTTGTTAATTTTTCGAAAGCTTAATGTAAATTATGCAATGAAATTATAACCATCAAAAAGGGGATGAAATGCTGCATCGAATGCTCCTAAGATCTCTCGAAAATCTTGATTCCATGAAATGTGGCGTTCATTTGAAAAAAGCGACATTACTTTCGAAACGACCTAATAGTTGGACGAAGTAAACAAAAGCCACAAAACCTAATTTTCCGGCATCGATAGCTGGCTTTTCAGTATTTTTGAGAGCGAAGTTTCAAAAAAGTATCACATTTACAATATGTGAAGTATACGAACGCTTCAAACGCTATGAAATCTTCGCAAACTAAAACTTTCAAAAATCGATTGGACACTAATTTTAACAAATAACTGAGTCACGACAGCATCGAAATATTGATTTGTTTTTCGAAATTTTTGGGTACAGTCTAAGAAGTATCAAAAAACTAGAATTATGACAATTTTTTCCTCAAGGCCTCTACGAATCAGAAAGAAAAAATCTGTCAAAAAGAGAAGAAGAAGCTGCATCGAATGACACCCTAGCATCAATGTTCTACGAGGTTTGGGATAAAGTATCAAATTTGGTATCATCATCATTCTCAGATCCAGAATGAAAATTTAAAAAGATAGCAGAAGTCAGGTTGGGTAGGCCATGGGTTGAAGATTCCCGATTGTTCTAGCGAACATCATAGAAATCCGAACAGAAACAATACTGATAAAAAGAAGAAAGAATCCTGCATAGTACACTTTCCAGAGTATTTGCCTATATTTATTCTGAATGATTTGAGGATAGATCTAAAGAATGGCACGAACTTTCGGACCCACCTTTAGTCTGGAAATTAAGTTTTGCAACTTTTTTCATAACTTTATTCTCATTGAATGTGCCGCATTCAAACTTTGGATATAGTGCGCAACTGTGTGGTAAAACCTTTCAGATTTTGAAAAAATTAGGAAATTTCCAGGCTTCGAAAACTAGTTAACTTGAATTTCTGGAATTACAAGCCAAAATGGAGGCGTTAGCAGCATAAACCATGCGCAATAATCCGCAATCGTGTACTTTTATTGCTGAAGGTTGGCTCATTTGGCTCAGCAAAAAAAATTATTAGCATGTCGAGATTTGACGCAATCACAAAGTGAATGTCTGCTGTAAGCAAGACTGCTGGGACAACCGTCAATGACCAAGTAGTCAGAACCTCAAGATTCGCCGAGAGTTCGTATATTAAGATTATTTGACCTGAAAAACACAAACATATTCGTTTTAAACGAAGGCCTCTTTTCTTGTAAAGGGTGAGACCCTATATCGTAAACCCACAGTAAACTTACGAAAAAGCCTTCATGCAAATTCAGCATCGTTTTCGTGGTCAGCATTTCGGGTGCCCCCCACTATGCCAAGTTTCAGCCAAATCTATCAAATCTTATAATTTTTCTCCTTATGCCATATATTACCTAACGTAACCCTTACTGCGACGTCAGAATTTGGCAGAACAGCAGCTGATCTCGTAGCTTACGTCATAACCTATACAATAGCAAAATTTTATGTGCGCCACGTTGAGGTAGAGGAGTAACTGAATGACTTGCAAAATTTAGTTTCCCACCTGATATATTGTATGAGCTGAAAGCATAATTCGCAGCGCTTTCAATAGCTTTTCATGGCTGTCAAGGAATGTAATATGATGAATACATCTGGCATGTGTGAATTTATTCTGAAGCTTTTAATACACATTAATAACACTGAATAGCATAATGGTTTTCTTTATGCAAAAAATCTGTTCCGTAACTATAAATTCACAACATTCTCCAATACTCGCATGCGGGACGATGTTCTTGCAGACCTTCCACACAAAAGCTAATACTATTTTACTTTAAACTGATTATTGAAGAATTTCCCCATTTGACCGCTTAGTAGTTCAATTGTAGGAGGCTATAGGCTGAACTATTCTCTAACAGTGCCAAATGATACACATGAATCTGACATAGCTTTTTATTCGAAGCCGAGCAGAGAAATGTAGTAAATTTTAATTTAGTGATTACGGAAAACACTCTAAATGTTGGAAATACACTTTACTGCATATTATTCTTCGAACAGATTGAAATGTTTTAATGTTGTTTGGTTTTTTTACAGCATATTCACAATGGATTCTACATAAACAGCAGTCAGTCTGCACGTTTGAACAATCCTACAAGAAGATTATGCTTTCTGTAAACTATTGCAGCAAACTGATGATTTGGATATCAAATTTTGAATTACCGCACACCCACCAGAAGTTCTTTGCATAGGACATGATAGAGGTTGGAAAGTAGTATTGCTGTCCCTGGGTACATGAAAACACTGATTCGACCATCACGTGTAACATTTGGCAGGAAAGATTGATAGCAACGATACTTTGATGGTTTGAAAGCTTTTAGTAACGGTGCACTACGCCTACCTTTTTTCGTAGTCTGCTCTCGTATGTCAGATTTTTTCAAAAAGGAGTGCAACATTATGAACTCTATATAAACCAGAAAACGAAAATTTAGCCAGAAATGCAGCCCTACTTTTTATCTCTTACTGTAAGTGGTACGTCCGGTACTTCTCAACTACCAAACTGTAACAATGTCTTAGATTTTGATTGTTGCGATCTATGCCAAGTCAGATTTACCAAAGAATATTGGACGATTTGGATGGCCGAAAGCAACTTGCAAAAAACCTGTTCCTGACAATCTTAACAAAAACTTCAAGAAACACTTCAAAAAAAAGTTTCACAATCACCTGGTTAGTTTTAAAAATGGTTGACTTATTATGACAACAACCTTTCCTGATGTACAGTTATCTTCTAAGTTTTAGTGCTTTTGGGTAGGCCTTAACACAATTTAGCCACATACATTCTTAGAAGTATGACTGCAAACTCAACGATCGAGCTGACCAATACATGCATGGGAGGCCAATCCACGAAAAGGAAAGGCAGGCCTACAATATCACCATGGACGTCTTCAAGATGTGTGTTTCTCTTCTAGGGGATCATCTTTTATTTATAAAATTTACAGGAAATTTACACCGAAAAAACTTGCTTTGCGTGTTGTTAAGGATAAGTCCAATCGCCAATTCTTCAGTAAGGTAAATTTTTAATGTTTATAAAGTAATTTTGACGAATTTTGCAAAATAGGCTCGTTTTGGAATTTATAAAACTCTAAGCGCTCTAACAACTATACAAAGCAAGTCTATCCTTTGATTTTGCTCCACATTTGCGTTCACTAATAATGGTACAAGCGCCGCTGGAAATCGCGATTCATTTCAAATTACAATTTATTTTTCAGCTGAAGAAAAAGACCAGTTTTGGATGCGCTTATCTGTATGAGCCGTATGAAGAGCAAGTGCAGCTATTAAAATGGGGAAGAAAGTTTGTTGCTTATGTGAAGAGGACAAATACGACTGTGATATGTGTTTATCGTGAACCTGCACCGAAGTCGCCCAAGTTGGAGTAATGGAGTAATCGCAAATCCTATTCTTGCTTTCGTTGTCGTTAACAGTTAGAGATCAAATGCCCATCGTGTCAAACTTTAACCTAGCTTTGCCTGAATGCTGAAAGGGCAGTCCATTCAGCAATGAAATCAATGGGCGCGGAAAAAGCGAGCATTTAAAAAGCAACGGAAGAGATGAATTGAAAAGTGAAAATTTTTAGTGTTTTCTTTTGCGCTTGTAAGTTTGGCACGATAGGTGAAGATTTTTAGGTGAAATTATGACAGAAGTGAGTACAGTGGAGTAGATTTTCCTCTTAATATACTGTGCTCGCACTGCAGGTGAAATGCGGTAGGCTTTGCCCTTAAACAAATAGCTGCCTTTGTGACGCCGTCCTGTTGCATGCGCAAAATACCGACATTACAGGCGTGGCTATAGGGCTTATCAAACTGAGTGTCGTTTGCACCGGCATCTCCATCTTCGCGCTGGACTCTGCGTCTCTTTCGCAGGGCTGCTTTCTGAGCACTTTCCCAGGGCGAGAGTGGGAAAGGCGAAACATCAATCGATTGGAAGTGATTAGGGTGCATGTGCCGCAGAAGAGACGCAGAGCCCAGCGCGAAGATGGAGATGCTGGTGCAAACGACACTCAATTTGATAAGCCCTATACTCGTTCACGCGCAAATTTTACCGCATTTCACCTGCAGTGCGAGCACACCATATTGTGCAGAAAATTTACTCGACTGTACTATCAGCATTATGCGCGGGTCTCAGGCTTTTTTACAGTCGGTTTCATTTCATCAGTCGCTCTATCAACTGCACCATGTCCACTTGTTGCACAATTTACATCACTTGTGCCATCTTCGTCACTTGCACAATTTTATAGATTCTGGCAAGTCCAAACCATAAAGGTGCGAAGCTCTTACTTTTTGATATCGTTTTCGTGCTTTTTTGTCGTCGTTTCATACTGTCCCTTCATTCATGATAGGGTACTACCGAGGCCGGCCTGCTAAATAGCTCATTTTCAAAATGCTGCAGTTACAGTCGGTGTCAATCATCTGCTCTCTTTTCCGTAAGCCCAGTCGCCACGCCAGGGCTTCGTGTGCATATGGCTATGGGCTGTGGCTATTAAAGGCAGCGTCCAGGCAGATCTGGACCTATGGGGCTTTTACGTGGAAAGTACTTTTGGGGCCCTAACTAAGGCACTATCCAAGCGGCAGCTCAGGTAGGGCTCTAATGGCTGAAATATTCCCCTCGAAACTGGCCCCCGCGAACGTATTCGCATGGATTCATGGCAGTTTCGCGCCAGGATCCACGCTTTGCGCCATGAATCCATGCGAAACACGGTCGCGGGGTCCAGTTTCGAGGGGAATATCTCAGGCGTTAGGGCACTACCTGAGCTGCCGGTTGGGCAGTGGCTTAGTTAGGGCCCCAAAAGTACTTTCCACATAAAATCCCCATAGGTCCAGACTTGCCCGGACGCTGCCTTTAGATTGCCTTATCGATCGCAGGTCCGCACGCAAGGCTCTCGCGGGCGCATGCGTAGTTCCTTTGCGACAGGGGTACATAATTGATATATACTGTATACAAAACGACTGATGAGGTGAGGACGACTGTATTTATATTATAGTATGTAAGTTATAACCATAATTGACATTTTCTACGTTTCCCAATAAATTTTGTGCTAATTAGTTGTGCGAAGATGTATGCATATAAATTAGTGATAACAAAATATAACAGAATACTCATGCAACATTTTGGTAATTTTTACGATGAATTACAATAAGAGTCATTAAGATAAAGCAATAGTTCAAAGCTTTTACTATCTCATAGCTATTATGAGCTTTTCACTCTTCTTACGATTCAAAGTTTCATCGAGTCTTTGGTATTTTTGTTAATATTCAGTCTTAAGATGATCTCAAGATTTATAAATCTATTTGCCTTGATTATAATCACACTACTATTTCCGATCTAATCACTAAATGGTGATGATCGCCCTTATTTGGTTGAACGGTGTGAACAAATACCATTTCGTGATGCACGGCAGCGGTAGTAAACTGGTAAAGGTATGAAAAAAAAAGAATTTGCCAACTTTGCACTAGGTTCCAAGATTATTGACAAAGTTCAAAAGTTGATACGAAGCTTTGCAGAAGAATGGCAAGCGGAGAGGTGTACTTTTCACCGCCCAGGACTGCAGTTGCGCTGCAATCAAAAAGCGCAAGAAATAAAAGCAACTCAAAAATATGTTTGTCAGAAGAACACCAGACTTTATCCTCCAAATCTTTCGTAGTCTAACAAGTTTTGGAGCCCTCAAATCTGCCAGTTGAGACGAAGCAATTTGATGTTTCGGTTTGGTTCTATTCCCAAGTTGTTGTCATACGAATTAGGATAAACCAAAAGTGCATTTTCACCATCTCTGACAGTTAAACTTCTTTGTTTTCCATTGAAAAATTGCATTGACACACAGATCACAGACTTTAGTGAAAACTTATTTAACCTGCAACTTCAAGCAATCTTACCGGAGAATAAACCTCACAATGAAATCCAAAATCAATAATAGAAGCTTTATTCTTCTTGCAAATTCGTGCTAATCGAGCTTTCCCAGGCAAAATTATGAGTTTTACCTAGAAATGCTAGATCGGAAAATAAGCGAAATAGTAGTTTTGGTTTCTTACTGTTTTCTCGAAAAGCATACCTTATTTTAGAGATGCTCGATCAGCATGTTAGTGACTGTGTCGTATTTTGCAGAGTCCTTCAGATTGACGAGCCTTCTTGAAGTCGCTAAAAATCAGTCTTCTCTTTTTTCATCATTTTTGAAATATGACATCAAAACTCTTGCACGCTAAGGTATCGTTGATTCGTTGACCGCACGGACTGCTAACTCTGCGAACCACGCCATGGCGAATTTGTGCTGTGAAAGCGTTTTATCTCGCGGCGCGTGCTTCGCAGTGTTGTCCAGTCCGTGCGGTGAACGAATGAACTATACCTTCGCTTCAACTCAATAAAGACAAACACTGAACTAAGCGCAGTTTATAATACATATAAAGTGTGCGTTGTGAAGGCATTACAGTCTTGCATAAAGGAACAGTGTAAGTTGCTCATCTTTGTAAGAAAATAAGCGCGAGGTTATCCGTTCTCCCGGTCATCGTAGTCATTGGCGCGGTCTCTGTAAATGCTCGCAAAGTTTTTTCTGCTGTTGGCGGTCATTGCGGATGCTCGCCCAATATTTGTAGTTGCTCGCCCTGACGTTTGTGTTTGTCTTCGCTATTGCAGGTTTGAGTAAATGAATTAAGCTACTGCAATCTAAAAGACACGGTCGTGATTCGAGACGGGCTAGAGACACGTTTGCAACAAAGCACGGCAGTTTCGAAAGAAAATCACTATCGAAGCCAACAGCCGCTATCGAAGAATCGGCGACAACCTCTTCAAGAGATTTTGCCTAGCAGGCGGAGAAACAAAAGAAAAGAACAAAGCTGTCAAAGTTTAAGAAAAGCATCTACTATAATTGTAACTATTCGACAATTTTAGGTTGAAATCAACTTTGCAGCTTTTTAAATCACTTCATTCTTTGAATATGACGCACTCAATCTTGCTAAAATATAGGCTATGACGTAAACTATAAGCGCAGTTGCTGTTCTGCCAGATTCTGACATCGCGTTGAAGGTTACCTCAGGTAATTAACTTAAAAGAATGTTCACAAATTTTGGTTTGGCGAACTCAGCAAAGGAGGATTCGACATGCCGATTACGAAAACAGTCATGGTGAAAGCTTTGAGTTAGGATTGCTGTAGGTTTACGGTAAGGTCTTAACCTAAGCAAAAAAGAGGCGTCAATCAACGTGAATGTTATATTTCCGTATTTGTTATTTGTAACTGTTATTTTTTATTGTTTATATTTGTTTTTCACCCAAATAACCGCACTATGCAGAGTCTTGGCGAATTTCGAGGCTCCGACTCCTCAGGTATTTGACAGCTACCTCCAGCAGCCTTGCGTACACTGACTCGTTAAACTTCAGAGGCAAAATTTTATTCCTCTCCAAATTCTAGTTCTTTTTATGTTAAGTATATCAATGACCATTCACATACGATTTTGAATCATTGTGCATGTTTAGGTTGCGACCGGCTTCATGCGTGTAAGCCTATAAACGCTCGAAATTCACTAGCTCTCAAAAATGGCATAAATTTTTTTATTTTGTGTTCAACAAATCATAAGTAAGTTTGTGCACATTGTAGCACACATCATCTCTACATATTGCCAAAATTTCGGTGCGCCACATTCAAAGAGAAAAAAGTAATGAAAAAAGTTGCAGAACTTAGTCTTTAACGTAAAGAAAAGATCAGTTTTCAAAGAAATTGAGGTATCCCTGCTGAGAGAGAAGAATTTTTTCCACGGCCGCAACCAGACATTCGATAATCCTCTCTATTTGAAGTCCCCAAAATTTTGTGGATGTTGCGCATTGTCACCCTTAGCATTATACAGAACACACCGTCTACCGATCAAAGTGTGCAAAAATTATCAAAATCAGTAAGCATGATTGTCAATGTAATAAGCACCAGCTTATCCCTTTACACCACTCAGTTCCCTAGCAGCAGCTCACTTAAGGCAGCGTCCAAGCAAAATTTTGCCTCTCATAACTTGTCATTCTAGGGCCTTTCCGTGGCCCTGATTACAGTTATAAAGTTCAAGTTGTCCAAAACCCTCAAAAATTCAATTCCTGGGGACCCTGTTTTGAGTTTGCGGACAGTTTCGGATTGTTCATCCCCTCGGCTCGCCAGGAGCTACAACTGCATGGGCGCAGTTGCACTCCATGATCGATCGATGCATGAGCTCATGTCCTCGGGGGCGGTTTGTGATACGTATCACAGGCCTGTATCTCCTTTTAAAGTTCACATCAAAGAATCGGACCAACGCAGATCGGATACTCATAGGGCCCACTTTACAATTACGTGCTAATCTGGGTGGTGGATCTTGCCTGGACGATGCCTTTAAAATGTACACGAAATCTAGCTTCTCATCGAGTCTAAACAGTG